TCTCACAGACTTCACCTTCGGAACAGCCATCCAGGCTGGCCTAATGTTTCCACCTTCATGAGCTGAAATTGATCTATAAAACTCTTTCTTCAGAGCTTTTCCTTAGCCATTTCTCACAGCCTCATAGAATTTGACAAATACCATTCTTATTTTTAATAAGAATGCCTAATTCATCTTCTAAATTGTTTTACATTTTAACATTGATTTCTTGCTTGATTCATGATCTGCATCTTAGAGGAACGTTGAATACTTGTGTGGGTTTTTTTTTTCTTTCTCTTTGGAGGAGGGCACTTATGTGGGGACAGAATGACCATTCTTTCTCCTTCATTAGGAATTTGTGGTTCAAAAACAGCTCTGCTTTTATGATTTCTACTTTATTGAATTTATGAAGAAATTCTGTGTTGCCTAATATGTGATCAGTGTCTATTACAATTTGATGGCTATGTATTCTGTGTTGATATATAAGCAGTACTAACTGTTATATGTGTGTCCTATGTCTGCATTATTTGATGAATGATTGAAAGGGACATGCCAAAAATCTTCATTTATGATTTTTTTAGTGCATCTTGCATTTCCCCAAGACTTTGAATACTATATTCTTATATAATAGCAATTGCTGCACATAGTTGCTGTAATATCTCCTCTGTTGCTACTTCCTTTTGCAAATAGGAATTATCAGTTCTGTTGCTGTGAGTGCTGCTTTGTGCTGGAATATTTGAGAATATAATATTAGCATAGGGAGCACAGGCTCTCTCACTTCCATTTTATTAGTGCTTGCTTGGGAGGCCTTTGCCCACTCTTTTTCAAGCTGTCATCCTTCCTGGTGCTTTCCTTGTGTGTCTCTTGTAAATATCATGTAGCTGAATTCCATCCTTGTATTGATGTAACAATACGTTAATTTGTTACTCACCAAGGGGATTTAATCATTCTTCCCTCTGGTCATCCAGTTTATTGGTATTTATAATATTTAGAGATTGAATTTGCTGCATGATAGCATAGCTAAATATCAGTAGATTAGATAAAGAAATAAATGGGGCATCTGGTAGCAAAGAAACAGAGAATGGTTATTGGCTGCACCACTGAGCTCTATTATGATCTCACTTATTTTACTTTTTTTTTTTTTTTTGACAGGCAGAGTTAGACAGTGAGAGACAGAGAGAAAGGTCTTCCTTCCATTGGTTCACCCCCCAAATGGCCACTATGGCCGGTGCTGCGCCAATCCAAAGCCAGGAGCCAGGTGCTTCTCCTGGTCTCCCATGTGGATGCAGGGCCCAAGGACTTGGGCCATCCTCCACTGCCCTCCCAGGCCACAGTAGAGAGCTGGACTGGAAGAGGAGCAACCAGAACAGAATCCAGCGCCCCAACCGGGACTAGAACATGGGGTGCCAGTGCCGCAGGCGGAGGATTAGCCTAGTGAGCTGCGGCGCCAGCCTGTGATCTCCCTTATTTTACTGCAGAGGTAGAATTGTGTGGGATTGTGAAACTTGAGAGATGAGTTCAAAAATTGAATAGTACATAGAATCTTCCCAGGGCACCACAAGCACTTACCATTTACTGATATTTACATTTCTAGTTTATATTATTTTTGTATGCTTTTTTGGCATCTTCTGACATGGATAGTCCTATTTGTAATAGAATACCACAGACATTAGATAAATGACATATAGTCTATATTTCTCTGTGTGTCTCTGAATGCTTATATATATTATAATACATAATAGTTAATGTATTACTTATTAATAATTACTAATTAATATAGTAATATCAATATTACTGATATTATATAAATAATATACAATATGCTGATCTTTAATGTTATACATAATATATGACATATTGATTATTAATATTATATAATGTTAAAATTATGATTTATACTATATTATATTGCTTATTATTGATATATTATATTATATTATATATATATATATATCATCCTGAGCTTTAGTATGGTTTTCCTGCATGCCACTCCTCCCTCCCAGAAATTGTTGAACTGATTTGAAAATTCAACTATGGATTGTTATTGTGTGTGTGTGCATGTGTGCGTGTGTGTGTTAATAAGGGTGGAGTGAAGGTTTAGCATTATGCATATTATAATATTTGCTTTAAAGTTTCAAAATAAACTAAACCTTAATTTTCCCAGTTTCATTATGTACCTCTTGTTCTTATACAAAGTATTTTATCTTTCTGAATTTTTTCTTGTGTGTGTGTTTTTTTTTTCTTTTCTTGAGGACTTCTGCTTATTTGCAATGAGAAGCAAGAGTATTGTTCTTTCTGGACCCTTGAAAGCTCAAAAAATTAATTCCTTGCTCTTACAAGAAAATAACACTTTGGTTAGATTTAGAATTCTTGGTTTGCCATCCTTTTTCCTCAAATATTCTGAGAGGTGTTCCAATGTCTTACAGCACGCAAAGTCACAAGTTGCCTACTAAGCTATCACCTAGGTACTTCAGCACCTTCTCTCCTCTGAGTTGTGATGGGGGCCAGGACTCAGGAACTCTCTCCAGTCAGCTCGCCAACAGGGGGAGCAAGAGGAGTCGGGGAAACCAGAGAAGTTTTCTCCTTCCGTGCTGTCTCATAGGCCTCACCTGCTTGGGGGCTACTTGTTACAGTAGCTGTGCCTGGTGCCTTACCAGCAGTGAAGGGTCCCCTCCTCCTGGACCCCAGCTCCAAAGGACCCCCTCCCTTTTATGCTGACACATTCTGATCATCCTACCTCTTTCTGTTGGTCCCCAGTTCTCTGTAGGTACAACCTCTGTGTTAATGCCAGTGTCCCCTTCTTGGCTTTCTGGTCTTCCAGTCCTACTTACCAAACTTCTATAATTAAATTCTCTCTTACAATAACTGGTGTGGTTTATGCTTTCAGGACTAGATCCTGATTTACGCAGATTAGAAATGAGAATTATGAAATCAGTCTTATTATCTTTAGTTTGTAGATAACCATTTATAAAGTATTTTCCAATACAGAAGAGAGCAGGATGTCTTACTCATTGGTCCTTTTCAACATGGGGGTCCCATCTATCTTTAATTCAAGAAAGTTTTATTGCTTTTTTTGCTATTTTCTTTAGTTATTAAATGTTGTATTGTGAAAATGTTGTTTTATCTTTCCTTAATGAGATGTTCACTTGTTGGTCACTTTCCCTCCAGCCCCAAGACTCTCAACCTTGTTCCCCTCTTGTCCCTCTGATCTTGAGCTGCCTGGATTGGTCATTGTGACCCCTCCCAGATGTCAACAGAAGCACCTGTAGTCATTTGGAAATGAGTGACCTCCTATTCTGTGTTATCTCATTCATGGGAGGTCCTTCCATACTCTCTGGCTGATCCTCCTTTTTTCTTATGCCTCTCTTATCATTGGCAGTTTTCCAACATCTACTAACATCCACAACCAAGATTTAGACCTGCAGGGGTGGGGAACACCTGTCCCCTGGGCCATATAGGGGTTGTGAGATCACTTGATCTGACCTTGCTAAAGCAACTGCTGGTGGGACTCAAAATTCAGTACATCTATAGCAATCTAATTCTTAAGTTGATAATTGTGTATGGCCTGGAAAAGATGCTACATGTATCCACACAGCCCTTGGTGGAAAAAGGGGTTTCCTATGCCTGCCACAGTGTCCCTTTTAGCTGCATGGGTCATTGTTTTCTGGGGACACACCCAACTATCCACTAACTCAATGGGAATTTTTTAAGTTTGTGGAAATCAAAGTCTGAATTGACTGTGTTTCTCCCCTCAAAGGCAACCACGAGGGATAAAGTTGTGGTCACCAACCCTGCAAACAAGGCTTCCTCTGGGTGGGATCCCAGTCTTCAGCTGATGCGTCTCTGCCTACCTTCCAAGGTGCTTCTGAGAAGCAGAAGTGCTGCTGCTAACGCAGGGGTCCTTCCTCAGGAACTCCAGCCTCGGAGGTGCTCCTCTAAGCTGCTCCTCCAATCCACAGCCTCTACAGCGCTAGGGCAAGAACTTCCACCCCTGCAGCCTAAGGAACCTTTGCAGATCTTCTCCGACTTATCTCCCGCATCTCTAACTCCCTAAACTGTGCTCACAGGGGAAGAGCTCTGAGCGTCCTCTGTTGATTTATTGTACATTTGCTGTGAGTTCTTACTCCTTGATGGTTTTCTATGGGTTTGTGTATGAGGTTGGGACTCTTTTGAGTTTCAATAAAACTAAACGTTTCTTCTTTATTTTTTCTTTGTTCTTCATTTCCTTGGTTTGGAGGGTAAACACCTGGCACGCTAGCCCCTTGCCAGAAGTCCACCAATACATGATGTATATTTGAACTTCTTATGGGACTTAGAAAGAGAGAAAAAAACACATTTTGTAAAGAGAAGGAAAAAAGATTTCATGAAAAGCAGTTAATAATTATCAATACAATGGTATTAAACAAAGAAACCAGAAATGACTGACAGGTATTTAATTACCTAAAGGTAACCTCAACAGTCATAGGGACTGCCTGCAAATGCAAGGAGGCTTTGGTTGGACAGTTTTCTGATGACATTCTGCAAGCCCCGCTTATCTTTCAGACCAGATACATGGACGTTTTGAGAGCACTCATTTTCTTCTTCCCACTTGTAGCATTTTCACTCCTGTCCAAATTCTCTCTACCAGGGTGGACCAGTTTGGAGTGTTTCTTCCACAATATCATAGGCATTCAAGTTTAGGGTCTTTATCCAACAGTACCCATTTTCTTGCATGTTAAACATTCAATAAATGTTGAGAGAGTTCCAAGAGAAGGAAGAAAAACAAATTCTGAAGTTGGAGGGAGTTAAAATTACATAAGCAAAATGGGTACATGTTTCCTTTATAGCATTCTCGTAAGGTCCAGTAGATCTTTCTTGGACAATGACTGAATAAATCTCTACACATACACAGGGGCATGAAAAGAGAAAGCACAACTCCTCTTCCCTGACCTGTGCAGTAACAGTGTACACAGTACATAAAAAAATCTCTTGCATATCAATAAAATGGATTTGTACACCTGTCCATGTTTTTGTGCTTCTAGGTGATCCTCGTCTTTGTACTAAGCATCGGGTCTCTTATAATCTATTTCATCGATTCCACCGAGTGAGTACAAACCCAAATCTCTCCTCCCTACCCTCTCAGTCACTTGCTGAACTAACTTCAAATTTTCTCCTCTGGGGTAATGCTTAGTACATGCACACACACACACATAAACTAAAAAAGAATGGTAAGGGTTCAGCTCCTCCATTAAACACTCAACCCCACTTTGCAATGAAAGCACATGTTTCTCCTGTGTGCTGCCATCTTCCATATCTAAGGGTTGGGGGAGTGGGGCAGTGGGTGCAGATCTGCTCTAGGGCCTCTGGTGGCTCCAAGCCCCCAAAAGTCATCTCTGCACCTGAACTCATTATGAAGCCATTAACATCTTTGGGTTCCTCGGGTATCGAATCAGAAGTTCCATAGTGGCTCCATCTCGTAGGTTCCCTATGATGTGGGATGATTTTTTGAGAAAGCAAATGCTAGCTCACACCTGAGATAAAGAACCAGATCATTGTCTGCTCCGATTGAAGACACTCCCTCCTTAAAGTGCCAGGTTAAGGCAGGTTTTCATTTCGTTTCGTTTTGTTTTGACAATCCTCAATCTAATTGAACTGTACTGTCTGTCCTCTGATAATTATATTGGACTCAGAGTCAAAGTGAAAAAGTGCAGAAGCTAAACCTTCCAGACAGCACAAATCATCTTGTAAACCAAGGAGAGCCACATAATCTCTCTGGCTCCAATTCCTAATGATAAAATTGAAACAGAACCAATAAATCTTACGAAAGTAATGGTTGGTAATTTTCCTATTATTTTTAGTTCCATAGACTGTTGAATCATTTTGTTCATCTATAATTCTACTCCCAAGGGAAAAGTAATTTCCTTGAGATCTGAACGTGTGTGGATTGACCCTTCATGGAAAATGAATAGAAAATCCCTGCCCTATCCCTTCTGCTTGCTGTTACATAGACATAGCTTTCCCAATATGCATCTTTACAAGTGCCCTTGTCTCTTTTCCAGCCCTGTTGGAAGATGTTCTTCATACCAAGACAAAACCATCCCTGTTGATTTGATTTTCAATGCTTTCTTCAGTTTCTATTTCGGGTTGAGAGTAAGTACCTGTTGGAAGTGGGGATGAACACCCAACACAGTACAACTGGAGATCTGTGTGTTCCTTACTTACAAGGTCTCACTAAGTTTTCCGGTTATAAAGATGAAAGATCCATGCCCTAAATTGTTAAATAGACGATAAGATCTAAAAATTCCATCCATCCCGAAGTTGGAATTATAAACAAGGTAAAAAAATTACAATACAAATGAAAATGATTTCTTTGTTAAATGCCATCACCCTATCATAATGTCTTTCTTATTGGTTGCCATCTACTACTGAGACACCTTTATTAATAATTACCAGCTGGCAGAACCAAATAACAAGTTCCTCAAGATGAGATGTCGTTTTCTCCATTAATGGCATATGCACTGTATAATTGTATAAAATGCTTTTGTATTTTTCTTCATTTTTGTAACATTCACTTATTAAATAGTTCTTTAATTCCACAGGCACTTATTAAGCACTGGTGCTAGACCTACATTTCAATGTGTTTACCGGTTCCATGTTTGTGGGAGACTGTACTCACATAGTGTACATCCACACTCACCTACCCCACACATGAGGCTAAAAAACTTTGTGGAAAAATGAAACTGAAATGCAAAAAAATTTGAAATCCATCCACAGTGTTTTCTTTTATTTGTTTGTTTTGTAAATATTTATTTAGCCGGCGCTGCGGCTCACTAGGCTAATCCTCTGCCTTGCGGTGCCGGCACACCGGGTTCTAGTCCCAGTCAGGGCACCAGATTATGTCCCTGTTGCCCCTCTTCCAGGCCAGCTCTCTGCTGTGGCCAGGGAGTGCGGTGGAGGATGGCCCAAGTGCTTGGGCCCTGCACCCCATGGGAGGCCAGGATAAGTACCTGGCTCCTGGCTTTGGATCAGCACGGTGCGCCGGCTGCAGCGCACTGGCAGCGGCCGTTGGAGGGTGAACCAACGGCAAAAGGAAGACCTTTCTCTCAGTCTCCCTCTCTCTCTCACTGTCCACTCTGCCTGTCAAAAAAAATATTTATTTATTTGAAAGTCAGAGTTACACAGAGAAAAGAGAGGCAGAGAGAGAGAGAGAGGTCTTCCATCCGATGGTTCACTCCCCAGGTGGCCCAGATGATCTGAAGCCAGGAGCCAGGAGCTTCTTCTGGGTCTCCCACCCAGGTGCAGGGGCCCAAGGACTGGGGCCATCCTCCACTGCTTTCCCAGGCCACAGCAGAGAGCGGGATTGGAAGAGGAGTAGCTGAGACTAGAACTGACGCCCACATGGGATGCTGACGCTTCAGGCCAGGGTGTTAACCTGCTGCGCCACAGCACTGGCCCCAGTAGTGTTTTCAAAATAAACATTTTCCATAAGCTTTTTGAAGGACCTCTCTGTATGCATGTATATTAAAACATGTTTATATATACATGTATACATAGATTTATCTTTTTAATATAAGTGTATTATGACACAAGCGTATCTCAATAAGTTCCGTGAAATAGGATTACAACATAAGTTTGTTTTGGTGCACGAAATCTTGAAGTCCATGTATTTGAGTGTCTTCAAGAGTTAATAAAACTTATTATGGAAAAGCTATGCATGAATTTTCAAATTTTTTGTACTAATAGACTTACCTTTGAATTCCATTTTTCCATGAATCTTTTGAAGCACCATAGAATATGTGCCTATGACTGTCCTTTACTGCTTACCCAGAACACACTCATCATCACAACCTGCTTCTAGCAGCAGATTCTCCCTTCTGGAAATGCATGCTTAACCTAAGTAGGGCAGCTCATAAACACAGGCCAGGCCAGCCAAGCTTCCCGAAAACTACACCTTTTCCATTGGAGAACGTCCTAAATTATGTGTCTTTGTTGCTCACAAATAAGGGGATTTGTGTATATAATTATTGTACATAATTGGCCAGCAGGAAGGTCTAGGGGAAACTGAGAGATTCAACATCTAGTAAGTAATATGACTATGTATTCATTTGTTGAGTGCCTAGTAAAAGTACAATCTTTTGTACTGCATATGCATATGCCTTGGTAGATCTATATAAATATGTGTGCATTTATATAAAAGTAAAATAGACTGAGATAAAAACTTCAATGGATGAATGCAATGTAGCTGAATCATGCTATCTCTTGTGTTCACTTGAGAAAGCTTTGTGGCTAATGGAAGCTTGAATGTTCCATTTCCATTTCATAGTTTTTTGCAGCTGATGACAAGATCAAGTTCTGGCTGGAGATGAATTCCATTGTAGACATTTTTACCATCCCACCAACTTTTATTTCTTATTATTTGAAGATCAATTGGCTAGGTGAGTGTGCTGTGGGTGTCTGTGGTAATATCTATTTTAAAATCTCAACTTTCCTTTATTAGTGTCTGTCCTTCATTTTGCTTTAATACTTGACTGTCATATGAAAAAAATCGCTCACCCTGTTTGTGTAGTTTTGTAATATATTTGCAGAAACCATGTTTTCACTCTCAAGACCCAGCCCTATTCCTGGTATACAGTAGGTGCCCAACAGTTGTTGATGGGATATCTGTACACATAATTTGAGAGGCAAATCTCCCACAAGCCATTCCCTTAGAGGCATTTTTATGCTGGGATCCCATAAGGGCTGTGAGAGATGAGAAGCCACCCTTGATCTTTCAAAACTCATCGTCATGGCATGTCCAGTTGAACATGCTGCGACATGTTTGAGAATCATGCAATCAGCTGTTTTGTCTTCAAGGCTGATGCATTGCCAGCGCATGGATACTGTGCAGCCTTGATCAGTTTTTTTGTGATTTGAGGTTATCATTAATTATCTAAAAATAAACACCAGTTCTATACCTTGCCTTATTACCAAATCATCTAAAGTAAAACATCTCACAAAGATGAAGAAACATGCCATGGGGAGTGCATGATCATGAGCTCAAGTGATGATTTATGGAGAATATGTTAAGTTAAATAGAGCAAGATGAATAGTGCTTATTTTATGTGAGGGGTGCATCTACATGCTTTGTGTTTAATCTGCTACTCCATGAGGTAGGTACTGGTAAAATTCTTTTACATAAGAGGAGCTGTGAAGTTTAGGAGATCATCTTAGTTGGCAAGAACCCTGGTCAGGATTGGAACTATGGCTCAGGCTCTTGAACCTGTGACATTATATTTGAACATGAAGGGAAAAGTGGAACGTGAGCAGCCCTAGTCGGGCTATGATTCAGGCTATGCCATAGAGTGACTGTCTTTTTGCAGCTTTCTCCTTTCTGTTGCCTTGTAGGTTTAAGGTTCCTACGAGCATTGCGGCTACTAGAACTTCCTCAAATCTTGCAAATTCTACAAGTCATCAAGACCAGGTAAACATTAACCATGCCAGACATACTTCTTACTGACTAGTTTGGATTACAAAATGAAAATGTGAACTCAATCTTCAACTCAACACAATTTACAACAGAATTTCAGTCAAGTAGTGATATCTCTTTACTCTCAAGCTATGACTCATTTACTTTCTCCCATTACATTGCGTTGCATGCACACTGGATGAAAACTTTGCAATTCTCTTAGTTTGTTTATTCTTTTCTGAAAAATTTTTATTTATTTTATTTTGAAAGGTAGAGTAACAGAGAGAGAGGGAAAGACATAGAGAGAGAGATCTTCCATCCACTCGTCCCTCCTCAGATGGGTACAGGAATCAGAAACTCCATCCAAGTCCCCCACATGGGTAGCAGGAACTCAAGCACTTGGGCCATCATCCGCTGCCTTCCCAAGCACATTAACAACAATCTGGATTGGAAGCAGAGTAGTTGGACTTAAAGCAGCACTCCAATATAGATGCAGACATCCCAAAGAGCGGCTTAACCCACTGCAGCACAATGCCCACCTGTAGTCTTTGCTTTTGAAAGCTACAATATGTAAGCCCATTTAGGTCTTTATTCTGTGTCCCTGCACCACATACACGTGTGCACACACGCACACACACACACAGTGAAATCATTTCAGATTTGTTTTTCACAGTTGTTTTTTGAATCATGCCCACCATGGTTAGGTAAACCTTTCTTAGGTTTAGGAATATAAGGCAGTTTCTCTGAGTGTGAGCATTGTCCATTAGCCTCAGTGAGTTATTGCTTACAGAAATAGGGCCACCTACATATCTGCCCAAAACAACAAAAATCCAAACTAGCTTTTAACTACAATACTTCTAAAGTTTTAAGTTGAGTCAGCCGTCCCTTAGAATTCCCATGCTTCTACATTCTTCCTAGAAATACCACACAGTGTTGTTCAGGCGCATTTCACTGCTAGGTGATTGAACATTACAGACAGTTTGGAATGGGCAAGGCTGTTCTTGTGTGACAGGTTGGGCTGCCTGAAAGCCACAGGGATTCCAACTAAACTCTATGCACTACTTAGAAGGGGAGCCTCTGTGCATGCCTCTCTTCCCCACAACCTTTGAATGAATGCCACGGTGTGAGTGACTCCACTGCTCTGTGATCAACCCTAAATTCCATTTTGCCAGCCCACTCCCAGGACTCCCGACATAAGGCATTTTGAGCTATTACTTTAGACAATGTAGCAATCTATTAAGTTTACCTTTCACAGATCCATGCACAGTATATTTTTAAAGGCTAGGCTAACAGATGTCACGGCAAAATCCAAATCTTGAAAGAAGTGTTATGTGGCCTGGGGTGTTTGTATTCTGTGCTTCTCAGACTCTAACGTGCACAGAGATCAAACAGAGGGTCTCATGACTTTGCGGATGCATAGACTGGGCCAGGACCTGGACTGTGTGCTTCTTCATTCGCTCCCAGGAAATGCCATCATGGCTTCTGGTCCACGAACCTCATCTCAAGTAGCAACATCCCAGGATGAGCTGCTTGTGCTGCTGTGGAATTTGACCTGTCACAGGAGACCCACCAGTTCTTTGTCTCTTTTTCTCTAGTAATTCAGTAAAGTTTTCCAAAGTGATGGCTATAGTTCTCAGCAGCTGGTTCACGGCGGCAGGATTCATTCACCTGGTAAGCATCTAGTCACAGTGCCTAATGCCCTTTCTTTGAACAGTGGAGGGGAACCTGGTGAGTCCCTGTCTCCATCCTTGTAACCCATAATCTTCCAAAGTGTGTGTCTCCCACCATCAAAGTGTCTGAAACTAGCCACAACCCCTCTCAGTACTCAGGCGGGAGACATTGTCCTGAATAAGTACCACAGTAGCCACGGCAGATGCCTGGATTTTTCAGCCCTGGCTCTGGAGTCGCTGGCAGCCCAGTGACCATCAGTGCCCACTGTGGAGCCCTGTGGCTATCACCTAAGACTACAGGAGAGAGTGGGGGTGCTCGTCCTAGCTGCAAACATAGCAGGTGCTCCTGGGTTAGATACTGTCCTTCAAGCTCCTGGAAGCAGACTGTTGACTTCTCAGAGGTATTCACTATTAGCCATGGGAGTTGGGCCCAGAACACACAAGCTCTGTCCTCTCGGGGAGTCAGGATTACAGGAACCCATATTCTCAACCTCACACTTAAGAAAGAAAGAATCACTTTTGAAAATGGTGCTTTACTTTTAAAAAGTGATCGGGTAGCTGAGCCAACAACATGACTGCTAATCTCCATTCCAGTTTTCAACAACAAAGTAAAGCACCTATTTCCCCCAGACATCTTCAGCACCTGATCATCTTTTGTGCTAAATAGAAATAGAAAACAACTAGGAAACATGTAAGCTATGAGGAAGAAAAGTCAAAAGGTGGAAAGATGAAAAATTAATTGCATATAAGTATGTATTATATATAAAATATTACATGCACTAGGGTACTTCAAAAAGTTCACAGAAAATGGAATTAAAACATAAGATTACTTTCGTATCCAAAAAATTTTGAAACCCATGCATATGGGGGGTCTTCAGAAAGTCTTTGTACCAAAATGATCTCTTAATTGCATCTTCTATGAGCTTTTTGGAGAAACCTCTTATTTAACATAATAATATGATATAAAAATAATAAATATCATAAAATACGCATTGTGATATTATATTAATATTTTACAGCAAATGTATCTATATGCTTATACACCATAAATAAAAGTGCCTAAGTTACTCTTTATTTTAAATACAAAAAGATAATTGATGAATTTAGTTTCCTTAAAATGTGAAGACTGAAAGAGAAAATCAGAAGAAAATATTTTTGTTGTTTTTCTTTGAAAAGATTTTTTTAAAATTCATTTGAAAGGCAGAATGACTGAGAGAGAAGCACAAACAGACACAGAAAGAGATCTTCCATCCAATGGTTCACCCCCAAATGACTGCGAAGTCTGGGCCTGTGCTAAGTCAAAGCCAAAAGCCCGGAACTCCACCTGAGTCTCCCACATGGGTGGCAGGGGCCCAAATACTTGGACCATCTTCCATCCCAGGCATATTAGCAGGGAGCTCAATCAGAAGCAGAGCAACCAGGACTTGAACTGGCAATCCAATGTCCACATTGCAAGCAGTAGCATTGCAAGCAGTAGTCCAATTTGCTGTGCTACAGTGTCAGCCCCCAGAGGATTTTTACCTTAATCATTAAGTAGATTTTGCAGCGGAGGAGGAAGTGACCTGGGAAACTTGTTGATTTTCCTTAGACACTAGCACTCAGAAGCACAAGCTCAATGAAATGAAGTGTTTCTCTACCTGCTGCCTTCCTTAATGAAACTCCTGAAACAGCTTGAGAATGAGAATGCGTAGTAATTGCTCAGTCTGAGAGCCCCTGGAGTCTGCTGACTGCAGGTGTGATGATGTGCACAAGACACACGGAGAGCCGTCCCTACCAAGTATTCCAAATGCTGCACTCCAGCCACACAGCCCTCAGACCACAGCCATAATCCCAACTAAGGAATCCACAGCTTCATAGTCATTGTCCACAGTCTGCGAACCCTTTGCAGCCTGAGAATCATTTATGTCCTTGGGGTGGAATGGAGTGAAATCAGCCCAATGTTTTGCCTATTCCTGAAAACCTTCCCTTAGATATCATTCAGTGATCATTCCTGAGTCTTCTTTCTCTGGACAGGTGGAAAATTCCGGTGACCCATGGCTCAAAGGTAGAAATTCACAGAATATATCATACTTTGAATCCATTTACCTGGTCGTGGCGACAACCTCAACAGCTGGCTTTGGCGATGTGGTGGCCAAGACTTTCTTAGGACAGACCTTCATCATGTTCTTCATTCTGGGGAGTTTGGTGAATAATATTTTTAATATTTTTTGAATATAGCTGCATAAACCAAAAAACATTTTTGCTAATGGTGAGAAATAAAGCCATACAGGTCAATATTGCATTATTCAGAGCAGGTGTCATATGAAAATGCAAAAGTGCCTAGGTCCCATAATTTCAGAATTGCATTCCCTGAAGCCTGTAATGTCAGTGCATGGTTGCAAGAGTTAAATGATGGTGGACAAAGAGAGCTGATTTTCCCTTACTGGCTTCTGTGTAGATTTGTGCAACCCTGTCCACCTTCATCTTTGACCAAGCACAATACAGTCTTTCTTCATTTAAGATTTGATCTGAAGGAAGTTCTGTCCCTCCCAGCCCAAATGAGTAAGCCATCAGCACACCAGCATTTAATTTCAAATGAGTGAACAACTTGGCTTGGTTCAGGAGTGTAGCAAAGGCAAAGGAAGCATTCTTTCCTTTTAGTGACCTTCAATTCAATTCCCTAACTTAACAAAATTCTTCACTCCACCTCTCTGATAATCCCTATTGATGTCAATCATTACCTCATTTGTCAATATTTATTTGTGCATTTATTTATCATCTACTTGCAATGTAGAGAGGGAGTGTGTGTGTGTCAGAGAGAAACAGATACACACACACAGAGAGAGAAAGAAAGAGAAAGAGAAAATGAAATATTTTCTATCTACAGATTCACTCCCCAAATGCCCAGAATAGCCAGGGCTGGGCCAGGCTTAAGCTAAGAGCCAGAAATTCCATCTGGAACTCCCATGAAGGTAGCAGGGCCCCAAGCACTGGAGCCATCATCTATCTGCTCCACTACATTAACAGGAAACTATATCAGAAATACAGTATTCTGGACTCTAATCATCACTCCAATATAAGATGTGGAGGTTCCAAGTGTTGGCTTAATCTGTGGAGCCACAATACCCATGTGTTTAACTATTCCCAAGGGCTCAAAATAGAATGAAGTCAGAGTGAGGAGGGAATCTAGATATGATGATGGGCAGAACCAGTGGGAAAGTTGCCTTATGGCTTGGCTTTCATTGTTGAATACAGAGGAGAATTTTCTTATATTTTAACCAAATCTCTCTTAGCATGTAGTTCATCGTAATGACCCTTGTAGACAAAAGAACATTGTATGTACCTTCTTTCTCCTTAATAGTCTTGGACTTTTCGGGGAATCTGTCCAAATAATGAAACCAAAGGTTTTATTTTCTGATCGTTTTAGATATTATCTGCCAACTATGTCCCTGAAATGGTGGAACTTCTTGCTAACACGAGGAACTACACCAGATCCTATGGCGTGGTCAAAGGGAAGAAGTATGTAGCCTTTCAGTTATAATTTCCACAGTTTGAGATATTCTGTTAAGTCCTGTACCCCACGGTAGACATGTGTTGCCTGGTCTAGTGATGGAACCAAAGCTGACAACGTGAGTGTATTTCAAAAAGTTTGTGGAAAGTGGATAGAAAAGATACATTTATTTGGTGCAAAAATATTTTGAAATCCATTCATACAAAGAATCTTCAAAAAGCTCTTGTAAAATGCATGTTATGAAAAATTATGCATGGATTTTAAAATTTTTGCATCAAATAAACATCTTTTCATTCCACAATCTGCAAAGTTTAAAATTCACTCATATTGGCATGGTCCTCCCTCAACAAAGAGAACAGTGCAAGAATAAATGCCAAGTGAATGTATTTGCTACTACATACAAACTACTAGGCAAATGCTCAGAAGAGCAGTAAATGAACCACCATGACAGAAAAGTTGTAATTTACTGCCAATAAATATTAATTATGCATCCCTCATCACTACTCTGGTATCATTACTTATTTTCTTACTCATTTTATCATATGGTTAACTAATGGCTGACTTTACACAATGGATCAAATTAAAGCCAACTTTCACATTTTATTTATTTTTTAAAAATATTTATTTATTTATTTATTTGAAAGTCAGAGAGAGAGAGAGAGGAAGAGACAGACAGAGAAAGAAGGAAATCACCCATCTGTTGGTACACTCTCATAATGACTGCAATGGCCAGGGCTGGACCAAGTAATAGCCAGGAGCCAGGAGCTTCTTCCAGGTCTCCTATGTGGGTGCAGGGCCCAAGCACGTGGGCCATCTTCTACTGCTTTCCCAGGCCATAGCAGAGAGCTGGATTGGAAGTGAGCAACTGGAAATCAAACCAGTGCCCATAAAGGATGCCAGAGCCACAGGCAACAGGTTTGCTTATTATGCCACAATGCCACCCCTCAAGTTTAATATTTTAAATAATTCAATTCAATTATCTTAGCCAAAATCCCACCCCACCCCCAACTGTCGAGGGCTCTCTGTGTGCTGAGTTTCCTGAAGGGAGGAGCAGTTTCCACCCTCCCTCCTGCAGCACTTCCAGGGGCATTGACATTGTTCAAGCATTCTTTCCCAGGAGGGAAATGAAACTGGAGGTGCCTGTATCTCGTGTTTATGTGGATTCTCATCACTTCAGCTGCCATAACTCTTTTTCACATTTAAGAAGAGAATGGATTGGAGGTCTTAAATTCAATGTGTGTATATTTTTATTCAGTTCCTGTCTGCTGTAGGCAAGAGATACAAAAAAGATAACTCTCTTGGGGGAAGGAGGCTATCTCTTAATGCAGTTAAGTGAAAACCACTCTTGGCCAAGGAGTACAAAGATGAAAGAATAAAACATAATGAAATTAATGAGACCATAAATAATGAGAAGCAGTGAAACAAACTAGATAAGCCAAAATCAAATCCCATTTGCGTCAGGAAAGGCATAGGAGACTCATGCTGAATCAACCACTAAAGTAGGGGAAATTTATGGTTAATGTAGGTTAAAATTATGGTTTCTGTTTTCTTACACGGCTAATGGGAAGAAGAAGCGTAGCTTTTTTAAATATATTAAAGTAAAAAAAAATCAGCAGCTCTTTTTCATCACAAACACCATGTGCATAGGTTTCTGCACCTGTCCTACTTATCTCTCCATTGAACTCACTTTTCTACAACTACTAGATAATTTTAGGCATGAAATTATAAACCAAAACAACCTTAGAATGTGGTGCTACCTCAGCCACAATATTTAGTTATGGAGGAAGTTAATGAGCCATTTGAGCATCAGCTCTCTACCAAGAGGAGGAAAAACTCAGTTAATTAGGAAGGAAGTGAAAGGTCATTACACAGAAACATCTTCAAAAAGTTTGTGGAACATATGGATGATGAAAACACTATGCATGGATTTCTAATTTTTTTGCTCCCAGATAAACTTACGTTTCTCATTCCAATTTCCATGAACTTTTTGAACCACTCTCATAAGCTAGAACTAACTGAGAAAAAAATTTAGCAGTAATGATAGTTACTCTTGTGCTCCTGCAACGCTGTGTGAAACTCAGAAGTCTGGGGCATGCTCAACTTCAAACGGTCTAGAAGACTACAGAAGTCTAACACTCCCTTTGCACATTGGCAATGCAGTCCCTAATGTTTTTGTCTTTAGAATCTGGGTGATTCAAATGCCAGATTTATTCCAAACTAACTCTAAGTGAATTGTCCATGAGCAAACCTTGACGGGAAGACGCTACAGCTCCTCACGGGTGCCCTCCCCTGTCCTTGCTGCCCAGGTACATCGTGGTCTGTGGAAACATCACTGTGGACAGTGTGACGGCTTTCCTGAGGAACTTCCTCCACCACAAGTCGGGGGAAATCAACACGGATATTGTCTTCCTGGGAGAGTAAGTGTGTCCATGCAGCCTGTGAGTTCTGTGTCGGCGCCGAAAATGCGTGCGGATGTGTTTTAGCGGAGTAAAATGATCTTGGTCTTACTCAAAGAAAATTCAGAAAGGAATAACAAAAAGAAGAAAAAGAAAAGCAATCTCATGACTAGAGTAATATGTTGGAATATATCCTGCCCGATGTGTTTCTGCATGTATGCTAATATTAAGGGACTGCTAGTTGGCATTTAGTTACCCTGCACTTAATATCATCATCATACACAATGATAATTTGGGACACAAGTCTGATGCACTTTCTAATTTTTTAACCTCTTAATTCTCAGAAGGTGAAGTTCAGATCCACACAGAGAAGATCGTTCTTGAAGGTGTTTTCCTTCTCAGCAGTTTACCCTGCCACTAGCAGTCCAGGCTACATTGCTGGTCAAACACTGGGGAATACAAATTTAAGGCAAAAAGAATTTTTACTGCTATTTAAATATAAAAAGTTGTTTCTTATTGCTTTATTTTACAGTTATGATCTTGGTTCCTAGTGAGATGGAACAATTTTATACTTTTTGACAGTTCTCTTCCTTTCATGAAATTTCTCTTTATTTTTTTATCCTCTTTCTTTCCTGTGCTTGAATATTTCGATATTAAGCCGTTTCCTCCATAGGTTGTATGTATTTTGCCTTCTAATTTTGTTTATGCTTTTGTCTTAATGCAGAAGCAGTTGATTCGCACATGCACCCACTCTTTCCTTTTGGTTCCTTGCTTTTCTGCCATTCTTAGGCCTCTCTGTTCTAAAATGAAGTGCCTATTTCTCTAGCATTTCTGAAAGGTTATATTGTAATCTTTAATACTTAAGCTCACTATACTTGATTTTGTAGGATGTGTTTAGAGTTAATCCCTTTATTTTTTCTCAAATGATTAATCAGTTATCCAAATAATTCACTGAATTTTTTACAAGGGGTCCTCACAATCTTCACAATTTCATGGAAAATGCATATTCCAAAAAAAATTATACATGAATTCAAAACTTTTTACAACAAACTAAGCTTATGTTTTTAATTCCATTTTCCACAACTTTTTGAAGAACTCTCATAAGTCCGCTGGATTTACAATATTTTGATCTTATATGGGATTGTATGTGGGATCACATATGACGTGCCCAATACATTGTCACATGGATTCTCATAAATGTGAGCTCCAACAGCATTGTCAACCACTTTATGGTGCTGCTAATGTTTCCGTACTATGGCACTGCCTATCTTTTCAGGAAATTCTGCATTTTTTCTGAGAAATGGAACTAAAGCTTAAGTTTATTTGAGAGCAAAATAATCGAAATCCATACACACAAGGAATCTCCAAAAAGTTCATGGAAATGTATATTATGAAAAAATTATGCATGATTTTTTCTTTGTACTTAAAAATCTTTATTACTCTATAATCACATGGGCAATTCTGTTCTACACTTAATTTTTTTTTACTTTTTTCATATAGAAACCTTTATTTAAGGTATACAAACTTCATGCATTTCATATATGCAAATTTAGGAACATAGTGATTCTCCCCACCCTACCGTCCCTCCTGCCCACACTCCCACACGTCTTTCTCTTCCCTCACCCATTCCTATTCTTATTTTTTACTAAGATCTATCTTCAATTAACTTTATATTCATAAGATTAACCCTACATTAAGTAAAGAATTAAACAAATATAAAGAAAAAACTGTTCCTCAACAAGGAGGCAGGGGCTATTCAAAATCATCACATCTCAAAGTGTCAATTTCATTCTATTAACCATTCTTAGTTACCACAGATCAGGGAGAACATATGGTACTTGTCCTTTTGGGACTGGCTTATTTCACTAAGTGTAATGGTTTCCAGTTGCATCCATTTTGTTGGAAATGACAGGATTTCTTTTTTTACCACTGTGTAGTATTCCATGGTGTACATATATCATAATTTGCTCTTCCACTCTTCTGTTGATGGACACCTGGGTTGATTCCATATCTTAACTATTGTGAGTTGAGCTGCAATAAACATGGGGGTACAGATAACTCTTCCAGATGCTGATTTTATTTCTCTGGGGTAAATTCCCAGGAGTGGAATGGCTGAGTCATATGGTAGGTCTTAGTGGGTGTAATATTCATCCACACTGCCTCAAGAACCACACAAAGGTTCCATGCAGTCCTCAGTGTTAGCACAGACCCTGCTGCAGTGACCCACCCGAGGTATGTGGAGCCGCCCACTGCAACTGCCCAGAGACCCAGCCACACCTTGCTTCCTTCCACACAGCCACAGTGTTCACATAGTCCCAGCACCCAAGGCTCCTGCAGTCATGGGGCACCGACGATCTGCTCCGCCTTGCCGGCCTGTCCTGTCTAGAGAGGCGAAGATGCTCCCAGAGCAAGTTACCTGTGGGTACTCTCCCCAGGCTGTTTGAGTCCCAGAGCCTGCCATGTGTGGGGAGGCTGGGGACACTTCACAGACCTACACAAGTGCTCAGCCCCCATCAATCCTCCTAGCCGGACTCAAGTGTCTCCTTTCTGCTGGTTGCTGGGCGCATGGACCCAAGCTGTCACAGCTGTTACGTATGTCCAAAATGGCGCCCACCCTCTCTCGGCCAGTCGCAGGGCACCATTGTCAGAGGGACAGGGAGAGAGAAACGTGCCTCTGTTTTTCCTCTAGATTGGTAGCTACTCTGTCCCTGACAGGACTCCAGGCTCGATTCACAGCAGGCTCACCCTGCAGCTGTATCATCAGTGGCTTGGGCTGCTACAGTCTGGTCTCATCTCACTCTCCAAAGCTGGTGGTGAGGCTCTCGGCTGCTGGGGTCCTGTGTTGTGTCTGTGCTCATGCTGCACACCCACACCCTCCACGTAGAGCCACAGCATCCTTCCTCCTGCCACAGCTCCTTGAAACAGCCAAATGGGCATTCTCTTGGTAATCCTGTTCTCCCTTAGCCTTGTGTATACTCCCATCAGTCCCATCCACTTTGTTTCATAAATACTAATTCTACTTCTACCCCATTTTCCCACTACCACAGCCTTATTTTAAGTTAAATTGCTGAAAAGACCACTTTATTGGTTTGTGCTTCTTGCTCCGAGATTTATTCTCATCCTTCAGTACTCAAGAGACGTCCGCATCCATCCTTGATTTCCTTCTATCTTCTTACTCCGCTTTGTTTCCTTTCAAGCAATTGTTACAACCTATAACTACAGTTGATTTCCCTTTGAATACAACTCTCAACATTTTCTTCTTTTGCTATATACTCATGCTACTCCTCTCCTTGAGTCCTGGTTTGCTAGTGACTTGAGATGATAAGTAGAATGCAGATGATGCCACACTTTGCCACTTTCAGGCTAGGCTTTAGAGGAATGACAATTTCAACTTTCATGTGGAGTCCTGAGTTGTCATGAAGAGAAGACCCAGCCAGCTTTCAGCTCCCCCAGTCACACGGTTGCAACAGCAGTCAAATGGGCAGTCATTCGGGGTATCCCTGCTCCCAGACAAGCCCTTAGTTTAATACGGAGCAGAAGAAATCACATGGCTGTACATTTCCTCAAAATTGTTCAATACTTAATGATTGCCTCAAGTGATGTCTTTTATATATTAAATATATCATGTATCCTATTTATTGCATTAAAATTAATGATTCTAACTTCTCCAAAAAGTAAATAATCCAACAGAACAAGAGTTCAATGAAAAACTTTTAAAAGATGCATGTGGGTTATTGAAGTACAGAGAAATAAACTAGAAATTCTATTTATTAAGTTTTAAAATAGCAAGGAAATAATTAAGCACCATGTTTAAACTTGCTATAGAAAATTAAATACAATTATAATGCACATTTAAATGCAAGGTTATAAAGTGAACAGCTGTGTAATCACCCCTCAAATTAAGAAATATTCCAATGCCAGCATATAAACAAAACCTTCCTCAGTTGCAAGCCTATATTTATTCCTTAGAAGTAAGCTCAGCTCTGGCTTTTTATCTTATACATTTTAAATTGCTTTTTCTCTTTTGCTTATTTAGAATATTAATTTTTCAATTATAGACTTACCTAAATGGGATATAAATTATTTCCAGCCATGTGATGCTTGGAAAACCCACTGACGCTGCAGCTGTCTGCAGCTGCCTTGTTTCCATCGCTCTGCACTATGACATTCCACAACGTGGGTACACCGCCATTTTCCTCAGTCCACTCCGGGGTGGTGGCACTTCCCCACACACACTGGCAGCTATGGACAGGATGCTATGTAAATTCCTTTAGATGTATCCATGCACTGGGAGTAAAAGTTCAAGATAATCAAGGTCAAATGTCTTCCTGCAATCAGATGGTCAGTTGTCCCAAATGGTTTGACCACCTGTGCTTCCACAGCAGCTGTGAGAGTTTTTATTGCCCTGCTTATACGCTTGCACTTGGAAATGTAGCTGCATTCTACCTAACACTCACAATAGCATTTTTTAAAAATTTAAGCCATCCTTGTAGATAGTGTTTTATAAAATAGCAGTGTCTTACTGTTGTTTGAATTTACATTTTTCTGCAAATTCTCCTATGCATTTTACTCTATTTATAAGCAATTTGAATTTTCTCATAAAATAAGTATTAAATTATCTTGTCCATTTTTATCCTGAATGATTAATCTCTTCCTTATTTCTGTAAGATGATGCATGAAATGAACCTATATTGGCTATATACAAATTCTAATTAAAGTTCAAAATCTACAAATTCAATTTTTATACCAATTTCATTGAGTTATTCTCATATTTGACCATTTTTCTCAGCTTACTTCTTGCATATTTGGTCTTCCTTCCCATTGTAACTAGTTTCCTTCTTACCAAATAGCAAAGCCTTTACATTTTCTTAAAGACAGATTTGTTATCATTTTAATGTAAAGATATCTTCATTTTCCTTATATTCTTGAAAAATAATTTCACTGAGATAGTTATAAGCTGGGAGTTGTTCCCTTAAGGACCATGAATATGAATGTATTGGTCCAGTTAGTTCTGACTATAG